TGGTGGTAGTAGTAGTAGTAGTAGTAGTAGTAGTAGTAGTAGTAGTAATAGTAGTATCACTGGGTCAGAGATAAGTACTTTTGGAGGCATAGTTCCAAATTGTTTTCTAGGATAGATGAAATCAATTCACTATACATTAGTATGCCTCTTCTTCCACAGCTCCTAAATTTTTTTTGTTTTCCTTTTCACCTGATGGAAGTGAGGTAGAATGTTAGAGTTGTTCTAATTTCCACGTCTCTAATTAGCAGCAATGGCAGCATATTTTTCTGATGGTTATTGATACCTTGGATCTTTTAACCTTGAGAACTGCCTCTTCTTCTATCTATTGAAAAATGGCTCTTGTTCACATAAGTACTTATATAAATTCTCTGTGTATCTTGGATATCAAATGTTGATTAGAAAAAATGTCTATACAGACTTTTCCAAGTTAACTGCTTTCCTTTTTAATTCTAACTACACTGCTTTTGTTTGTGCAAAAAAAACACACAAAAAACCCCCCAAAACACAAACCTTTTCAATATTATGTAATCAAAATTATTCATTTGATCTTCTGTGATCACCTCTATTCCCCTCTCTCCCTAAGGATTACTCCTCTATATATAGTTATGAAAGTTATCTCCTCTAATTTGCTTTTTTTTTTGAGGCAATCAGGGGTAAGTGATTTGCCCAGAGTCACACAAATAGTAAGAGTCTGAGGCTGTATGTGAACTCATGTTCTGCTAACTCCAGGGCCAGAGTGCTATCTGCTGTACCACCTAGCTGCCCCTCTAATTTTCTCTTGATATTACCTTTCACATCCAGGTCATGTATCTACTGTGGATGAAGAGAGAAGTATTTTGCAAATTGTAAAATACTATATGAATGTTAACAATTATTTTAGTATAACGACAGGGGAGTTCAGATGAAGACTAACCAGCACTTAAAATAACTTTTCACAGAACTTCATTGCTTACTTACAAGAAAAAGACAGTTGAGAACAGAGTACTTTTGGTATTTAGTACCTGTGCTCACAGTGGGCAATACACAGTGGGGCAGACTGGTGTATTCAGAAGCATGCTAGAGCCACTTAGGGGAGCTGATTGTTAAATTTTCAATGTGAACATTTACATCTTGGAAATCAAAAATACTACAAATTAGGTTTGATTTATTTATGTTGTTGATTATCTAGATTTATTTCTTGCCTTCTCAATGAGTGGGAGAGGGGAAGGGAGAGAATTAGAAACTGAAAATTAAAAAAAATGTAATTAAAAAAATAGAAAGTAATATTAATAAAATGTTAATAAATAATATAAAATGTTAACAAATGTTAATCATAATGCTAATGAACTTAAAAATTAATCCTGCAGACATCCTTTTGTTAAACATTTACCTTGAAGGTATTCATTTCTCCTTCCTAGGGCCTAGAAATCTTTGGGGGGGTGGGAAAGTTAGACAAAAAGTCAGCATGATTATAATAAGGCCTTGCTACAAGACAAGTAAAGTAAGAGTGTTTTCTAAATTGCCTAATAAAGAGGGTGGTGAGCAGTACGGAACATAATTGTGCCAATTCAGCAAGAGGCTGAAAAGGATTAATGCCCAGCCTGGGTTTATTAGCCTTGGCACACTTCCATCCTGGGGGAAGGGGGAGACATAGCATAGTGGACAAACTGGTTTTCACTGCTCAACATTTAGCTATGCTAAGAGGCGGAGGTGAGTAAGGAGTACATGCCAGGCCCAAGGAACAGCCAGTTCAAAAGCTTAGAGAAGGAAGATAAAGTTTCATATGTGAGGAAGAATAAAAAGACCAATTTGGCTGGACCATGATGTACCTGAAAGTAATTTATTACAGAGCTAGAAAAGTCAGTTTGAATCAGGTTACAATTAGTTTTAGGTGCCAAATAGAGAAGATTATATCTGATCTAGAGGGGAAAAGGAGTCACTGGAATTAATTGAGTAGGAGAATAATATGGTTAGATATATGATTTAGGAAAATCACTTTTGAAGCTGTTTGGAGGATGAATTGGAAAAAGAAGCCAATTATGACAGTGTTGCAATGATCCAAGAAAGAGACTCTAAGGGCCTAAACTTGGATGGTGGCTATAAAAATAGAAAAAAAGGAACAGATGTGAGACATGTTGTGGCAGGATAGATAAGATTTGGCAACTGACTGCTTGTGTTCTGTTTGGCTCCAGGAAGTTGGACTAGGACAAGAGGGTGGAAGGTAGAGGGAGGCAGGTTCTAACAATTAGAGCTGTTTAAAATAACTCTATTTTGGTTGTAGGGTGTTATCCAACACTGAGCATGTAAGTAAAGGCCAGATGATCACTTGTTAGGGTCACCATAAAAGACATTTGGGTTTCCCTATGGGGTGGATTAAATGACCTTCCATTTCTGAATTGAATTGTTCTATTGTAACACCCTCTAAACTCTAACCGCATGCCCTCATATTTTCCCTTACAGGTAGGGTCCCTAGTAGAAATCAAGGTACTCTGTGTGTCTGATGTCCTAGACTATAGTTCAGAAGTCCCCATTGCTGTGTTCACCTTGATTCTAATTAGCCAGAGAACATAATTAACTCGATGCAAAGGCATTTACTGAAATGGGAAAGCAAAAATAATAGCAACAAAATATCTTCATCATGAACTTGAGACACACTCTGTTATCAAATACACACATTGTCACTGGGTAGAATCCTTGTATTTGTCCTTTTGTATAATTAAGGTGAAAAGGGGCATGCCTTTATATGTCATTGTCAATATTACCCACTCTTTGCCTCTATTAATTTCTTCAAGTGGAATGGGGAACTCTTGATTGGTGGTCCCTACAATCAACACAATGATCATTTAGTCCAATCTCCCAGACAATTCATGATATCCTTTTAAAGAATATCTAATGGGCCAATGAGCAGCCCTGGCTGTTCATCCACCTTTGGTGCTTACCTGTCAGCCAACTCTCACCTGTGGCTCCAGGAAGCTGTAGTATACACAATGGATACACCTTGGTAAAAAACCATCTATAGTTTTAAACTTGGTTAAACCAGGTTGACAGTAACCACCAGGCCTCAAACCCATCAGTGAGTTAGGGAGATGTCTACATGCAAAGACTTCCCCAGCAGAATGGGTAGATGAGAACAGTATATTCCACTGGCCATGAAGGCAACTGAAGCAGGCACTGCGGAGATCTTAGAGCTTAATCAGGTATCAAAGATGCCAAAGTCATCGCTGCATCTTGGGGTATCCCCAGTAGTCTTGATTTTTGTCTTGCCACTGGACTTCAGTGACTCCGGAAGAAAGAGTGAAGCTTTGTGTAACTCTGCCTCACTTAAACCCATTCACACACAAATTGAGACATCACCCGGTGATGTCATCGGTCCTCTTTGAAAATGATGGACAAACAACAACATAATAGACAATCATTCAGCCTTTACCTGATGTGCTTATAAGGGAGACCATGCATGCTATTGTTGGACAGTTCAAATTACTAGAAATATCTTCCTTATGTTAAATCCGCCTTCCATGCCAGAAAGAATTATTGATGGTCTGGACAGCTTTGAATGATACATACTGAACATAGCAGAGAGCCACTATTTTATGTACAATTCTCTTTTTGCTCTGCTTTGTATATGGAAATGTTCACTTGGTGTTTTCTAAGTTCAAAATTTTTTTTGAAAGTTTCTGAAAAATAATTCCTTTCTATAATTTCCATCATAACTATGGCAGGGCAAGTAGAGTTTTGATCCAGAATACATGTTTGCAAGGGGCAGCTAGGTGGCGCAGTGGATAGAGCACCAGCCCTGAAGTCAGGAGGACCTGAGTTCAAATTCAGCCTCAGACCAAATACTTGACACTTACTAGCTGTGTGACCCTGAGCAAGTCACTTAACCCCAATTGACTAAAAAAAAAACCAGAATATATGTTTGCAAAGAGCACGTTTCCTTAGCTCACTTTCCCTGTGTCTTGTTGCCCTTCCCTGGCTGCTGCACAGTGCCATTAGGGAACCTGGCCCTCTGACAGCACCTGCATTTTACCACAAGGGTTCTGACCCTATCCTATCATACTGCTACATCTTTGCCCTCTATCTCTTGCCCCCTTTTGAAGGCTGTCCAGCATAACTGCACCCAACCTGGACTGTCTTCTGCATTTCTACTTCACTTGCACAACTAAATTTCTTCTGGGTACCAGAATTTCTAGTTACAGTCCCACCTGTTAGACATAATTCTTCCCTCTGGTTATACAGAGTGAATGTAATTCTTTTTCTGCGGGACAGTGTATAATGCTGTGGGCTCCCCATTGCTTCTTCACAGCTGGCCAGCAGCTCACAGATCATGAGAATCATCACGTATGTATGGGGATAAATGAATGGGTTGGATGCTTACTATCTTATTCCTGACAATCAAAATCCTGCATTCGATTTATACATTTTTTCTGTTTTAGGGAAACCTAAAAATCACATCCTTATTTTATCAAAGAGGACCAATGCATTTGTCCTTTTTAATATTTCCTAGTATTTTTTTTTCCATAAGAGATTTAAGCAAGCTGGATTGGGGGGAGGGAATGATGCACCTTCTAGTGTTTTGAACAGAAAAATAAAGAAAGAAGTGAGTGATGGTTACTGCTTTCCTTCTTCGATATGTAGGAATTCCAGAGATTGCACTCGGCAGGTGTTATCTAGTCTTTATTGAAAAGTATACTCTGTGATTGGGCATCCTTGCTTTTTATTTACCAGTGATTTGTGGTTAACTTTCATCAGCATACGTATTAATCCCCAGCAACAGAGAGGCAAATGAGACTCTTTGTGTAGCAACTGTAAATCCCAGAAATGGAAATATAAAGTATTATCAGCTGCTACTCGTGCCTTGGGCAGAAAAAAGAAATATAGCTTGTTCACTAGGAAGAGGAAAAGAAGAAAATAGCCTTCTTTCTCCTAGGTAGTCATATGAACCCATCAGTTAGTGCTGGTTATCCATTATAAGAACCCTGTGTAATCCATCTATATCTGGATAAAGAAGAGTAATGAGAAAATTTTATGACACATCATTTGGTTTATTTAATTCTGCAAATTCAGAGTAGACTTTAACCCATCATTTAAATTTGGTACTGCCTGCAGGTAATGTCCACAGAAGGCCTGGCACAATTATTTACAACCAGAGATGTACGGGTAATTGTTTAACATTCTGCTCTTCGAAAGGTGTGACAAACTTTTTAGTTTAATCTCCATTATTAAGATTTTTAATCACTGTTTAAGCCTAGAAAATAAAAAAAGCAAGAAATTAAGCCTTGATTGATAGCTGTTTGTTAATTTCTGACTTATACATTTTCATTCTAAAAACTTAACTATTTGCATTGGAGAATTGGTTCAAGATAACTCTAGCACATTCCTGCTTTTAATCCTGTGGTTCTATCTTCTACTCTCTCCATAAATTCCTAATTCACAGTACCATCAGATTATTATTCCAAATTTTTTTAACCATAACAACAACTCACTTTTCCAAAGCTCTTTATGATAAGGTATTATTATTGTTAAATAAATAATAAAATATTATCATTCCCATTTTACAGGTGAGAAAACTAAGGCTCACATAATTCCCTCCAATTATACAGTCAGAAAGTAGCAAAGCTTGGTTTTAAATCCTTTGGACTTAGTTGGGGAGGGGAGGACAAAGGAAAAGGACAAACATTTATTTAGTGCCTATTCTCTTCTAGGCACTGGGCTAAGAACATTACAAATATTATCTCTTGGAAGACTTCTGAAATAAGTCCTGTTCACTTTCCACCATTCTATGCAGCCCCATGTAGACTTCTAACTTATAAATCTTCAATGTTCTCCATTGCCTACAGGATAAAGTTCAGAGTTATTAACTTGGCCTTCAAGGCTCTCCATAATCTTAATCTGATCTGTTTTACCATCTCTATTTCCCACTACTTTTCAACACAAGTGCCCTCTAGCCAGGCTGGTCTCTGAATTGGTCTCTGGAACATGGTTTGTGCTTTCCTAATTGAGTGTTTACTCACGTTGGTCTCTGTCTTACCCCGAATTCTCCTTCTACCACTTCAACTCTGACCCATCCTTCAAAGCCTAGGTCAAGTCCCCTCTTCCTCTGTGAAGCCATCTCTGATCATCCTAATGACTTTTCCTTCCTCCAACTCCAATACTATTTGTCTGTGCTACACATTTGACATGTCATATGCTACCTTTAGTCCAATAATAATTTATTACATACCTACAATATGCAAGGCATTATACTAGATGCCAAGGACAGAAAAACAAACCCTGGCCACTACTCCTCTGTATGTATTGTCTTCCCCTATTAGAATAGAAGCCCCTTGGGGCAGCTAGGTGGTGCAGTGGATAGAGCACCTGCCCTGGATTCAAGAGGACCTGAGTTCAAATCCAGTCTCAGACACATAACACTTATTAGCTGTGTGACCCTGGGCAAGTCACTTAACCCTATTGCCTAGCAAAAAAAAAAAAAAGACTGTAAGCCCCTTGAGGACAGAGACTATCCTTGTTTTTGTACTGTATCTCCAGCTGCTAGCACAGTGCCTGACACAAAATTAGTATTTAATAAATGCTTTTTCATTCACTTATTCATTTATGACAAGGAATTTACACACAAGGACCTCATGCTTCCTAAAGGAGAGGGTATAACACGTACCGGTTAGCATGATACAAGTTAGGCAATGACTGGTGCGAACACAAAAGATTAAGGCGTGGCACTCTAGGGAAAATTAATGAGAGATGGCCCAGTGGCTAGAGCTCTGCATTTGAGTCAGGAGGACCTGAGTTCAAATCTGGCCTAAGACACTTGACACTTGCTAGCTGTGTGACCTTGGGCAAGTCACTTAACCATGACTGCCTCAACCAAAAGCCAAAAAAAAAAAATTAATGAGAGAGTAGGGGAGAAGGTTATTGTTCCCAGTGGGGAATTTGGGTCATCTTACCAAACCTGAACCAATCAACACACCAAGCACCTCCATCACTACCAGCATCAGTGGCAGTCTTAGTAAAGAAGAACACTGTTGTTGTTCAGTCGTGTCCTGTTCTTTATGACCCCATTAGGGCTTTTTTTGGCAAAGATACCAGAGTGGTTTGCCATTTCCTTTTCCAGCTCATTTTACAGATAAGTACATTTAGATAAACAGGGTGAGGTGACTTGCCCAGGGTCACACATGTGTCCGAGGCCCAATTTGAACTTAGGTCTTCTTAACTCCGGGCCTGGCACTCTATCCACGGGGCCACCTACCTGCCCAGAAGAGCACAAACTGAAATAACTGGTTAATGCTCAACTCTAGAAAGTCCACGTGGTGTTAAGATGGACGATGGACAATGGACTCCAGACTCCAGCTCTTAATCCAGATTCTTCTCTGCTGGTGTCTCTCTTCCAGAAATCTCCACAGAAGCGTACCAGAAGCTTCAGTTCCACAGGGGGTGTGTTTGGAGGATTCTGAGGAAGATTTTCTCATTGGACAGTGAGCTGGTACAGTAGGCATACAGACCTGGAGTCAGGATGACCTAAGTTTGGATGCTACTTCAGAAACTTACTAGTTTTGTGATCCTGGACAAGTCATTCAACCTTACTTGGTTTAGTTTCCTTATCTGTAAAATGGAGCTATCTCACCTATTTCACAGGACTGTTGTGATTATCAAATGACATATACAAAATGCTTTATAGGCATTAAAGTGCTGTACAGCTGCTACCTATAATAATAATAATAATAATAATTAGTATTATCTCCATGGTAATAACAATGCAGGATTGCATTTGTTAAATGAGGATGCATTTCTTGGCAGTGAGGGATGCCTCCTTGAATTGCTAGATGGAAAGGTTATAGAGTCTTGGGTTAGGGACAGGAGACTGGCTGGGTAAAAATGGGATTGGTTTGAGGTGGATTGTACAATCCTGCATACAGGGGAATGGAGCTGGATGATTTTCAGGTTTTTGTTTATTTTTCCAATCAGTTAAACAGTTAAAGTTACAGTTAAACAGTTTAAACAGTTAAATAGTTTAAAGCAGTTAAACATTTAACAGTTAAAGGAAAAATTATTCCCCAAGAAGGCAAACAAATAGGATGATGATAAGTTCTGACCTGACACTTTACACCTTTATAGCAAGAAGGGCAGGACTTTGAGAGAATCCTTGTGCTTTCTTTTTTTGTGAGTCCTGAGTATAATACAGGGGGTCCAAAAAATTTTAATGCATTTTTAAGCTACCAAAGCTCAAAATTTTCTCACATTAATTTTTCCTAAAGAGCCATATCCTGATCTTTTTTTTTTTGCACCAGTTATGGCGTAACTGGTGTCATGTTAACTTGAACCTGTTATAATTTTTCTTCCAGAAAAATGTGAACTCCTTAAGCATAAATTCTACATCATGAATGAATGAAAAAAAAGGCATTTATTAAGTGCTTACTGTGTGCTAGGTACTGTGTTGTGTTATTTTAAAAGTCTGAGAGACAGTTTCTGGGTAATTAATCATTTTATTAATAATGCTACCATTTTATTAATAAAAGCATCGGTGACACTCTCAAATGACAAAGACCAATCATGGAGGTGTGTCAAACAACTAGTAAGTTTCTGAAGTAGGATTCAAACTCAGGTCTTCCTGACTCCAAGCCTATATACCTACAATGAAAAACTCTTCCTCAGAATCCTCTAAACACAACCATTGTGGAACTGAGGCTTCTGGTATAGTTTTGTGGAGATTTCTGAAGAAAGACACCAGCAGAGAAGAATCTGGATTAAGAGTTGGAGTTTGGACCCCATCTTTCATCTCAATGGTATATTTTCCCTTGGAAGAGTGGTTGCTCCTGAGGGTAGCAATCAACTCTGGTTGGTTAACAATTAATGAGAGAGAATGAATATTACAATGAGAGTGGGACCTAGTCTAATGAAGGGTTGAGGAATAGTAACTTCATGTCATTTACTTCTAAATTGCCTAGCCTTGGGTCATCTAATTAAAGAATTTATCCCCACCTAAACCTGTGCAGAGCACAATGGGCTTCCCACCTTAGATTAAATTCCTTGTAAAGTTGGGTGGGGTCTGAACACAATTGAGGAGAAAGTTAATTCAGTCTTATAATCAGCAATGTCCTTCAGAGACTGAGCTTTGAAATGAGGGCTTTAGAAAATGGAATGGTTGGTTATTAACAATCATTTCTCTCAATGATAAGTGCTATGGATACAATACAAAAATAAAAACAATCTTTGTCCCCAAGATACTAATAGGGGAAGACCATACATATAGAGGATGATGGCTTTGTGTTCTTGGCACCTAGGTCAATGTTTTACACAATGTAGATATGTACACATTAAAGCTATAGAAGCTTCAAACTTCACTAAGACTTTTGGGATACCCCATATATCCGTGCTGTTCATTACAATGAATCACTTAGAGCACCCTTTGGCTGGATGACACTGTACAGTTCTAGACTGAAGCAACAGCGTATAGTTTGACCTACTGGCTATGGAGGAATCCTGATTGTAGAGAACAGTTGAAAGTAGAATGACTGATTTTATACCCAGTTTTTTGAAAAAATATTATTACCTCTACCTTCTCTATGATCCAACTTTTTAGAAAAAGGTTTATTGATTCATTTTTTTTTACATCACAGTCATCTTTCAATATTCAAATCTGTCCTCACCATTGAGCTCTCCTTTGTAATTAGTGGGTATGGAGAAGGATGAAAAACAAAGGAGAACAAGCATTTATTAAGTGATTACTCTGTGCCAAACATTATGTTAAGCACTTTACAAATACTGTTTCATTTGATTATCACAACAGCTTTGGGAGGTAGATGCTATCATGATACTTATTTTACATTTGAGGAAATTGAGGCAGACAGAGGTTAAATGACTTGCCCAGGGTCACACAGCTAGTAAGTGTCTAAGGTTGGATTTGAACTCAGGTCTTCCTGACTCCAGACCCAGCATGCTATCCACTGTGCAACCTACTTGACTCTGGAAAGAAAATCAGTTCAGTATAATGGATACCATGAGCTTGTCTGACAGTGTAGACAATATTCCATACCCATTGTCCTCCACCTTTATAATGAAAGGAGGTAGGTGTTTTACTATTTGTCTCTTGGGATCAAGATTGATCATTACAATTACTCTTTTTTAGAGTTCTTTTCATTTATATTTTAGTCATTGTCTAATATTCTTCTGGTTTGACTTGAATTCCTACTATCTGTCATTTCTTGGATCTGATCCATAACTGTTACATATAAATCCTTTAGCAACTTCAAGATTCATTTACTGATAACTGGACTGATAACTGGACCAAAATCAAAGAAAACGTTTTCTTTCTTTTTCCTCCAAAGGACAAATTTATTTATGTGCTAATGAAAGCAGGAAACATATTAGGGCCCATAAAAATTATAATACGCACTGAATAAACTTTTCCCCAAAGTTCCGTATAATCTTATCCACTTAGAGCAAGAGGTAGGTTGAGTTTCTCCTGAAACACTCCTCCGTGACTTTTCCGTACTCTCCATGGCGGCTCTCATGGTCTGTCTTCTGACTATTTTATGTCCTTCACAACACTTAGCCCACAATTATCCTCTGTTACTAGCAGATGGCACTTCATAGCCTCTTCTGCTTCAAAGTAAACATTTTCTAAGTGAAATTCTTATGCCTAGGCAAGCGTGTTCAAACTGACAAAAGCATTTGTCATCTGACCCAAGGACCCAGGTCATTTTTCAGTGCCTTATGGGCTGGTTGCTGTCCTCATATCCCTCTTTTCTCTGTTTCTGAGAACCACCAGGGTCACAGATTTAGAGGTAGAAGGCATCTTGGAGTTCACTCAAACCAATTTCCTCATTTTGTAGTTTCTTTGAAGCCATACAGTTTACAAGTGGCATCATGTGGTCACATATACTTCTCTTTCGCACCCCAACCCCACCATCTGCCAAGATCTCCTCCCCCACACCCCACACACCTAACACATCATAAGAATCAATTTGGTAGCATGCTTTTTCCAATGCCTGGTCTAACCTATGCCAAACAAATTTAGTTATAAAGAGATTTTTTAAAAAAAAACCTGGTTTCCATAATGAACTTGTAGATGTGTAGGTGTCTTTCTTGACAGTTATAAATGTTAATCTGTAGGAACAGAATATGACATTATTATGGTTATTGAAATATGAGATCCTCCATTCAAAGCAGATTATATACTTATTAGCAGTTAGCTTGCTTTGGCTTTGTACAAAACTCCTGGCAAACTGGAATGATCAAAGTCAAGGGATTTAAAAATTAACAACTTGTTTGGTTTTGAGGTTGGCCTGGGTCACTTAGTTCACTCTACAGGCCCCTCTGTTATCCTTCCATTTAAATCCCTTTTAGTAACTAAAATCTTTTTTTTTCCCCTGAAGGCAGCTTGAAGAGTGCTTTTCAAAGCAATTGTTATGTTATCAAGATGTATCTTCCTTGTCAGTTTGAAGAAAAGTTTGCAAAAGAACAAAAGGCAATACACAGTGGGTTCATTCATATTTGACCAAAATTTAATGAGAGAGGTTAGACTGTTTTGGAAACTCTCTGACACTTTACACACTGACCTCAGCGTGCCGGGAAAAATTACCAAAGCTTAGGTTTCACTCATGTTTAGGATCTCCCCAAAAGTCAAGTTTAGTGCAATCAGTAAGCATTTATTAACCATCACCTGTGTGCTAGGCACTGTGCTAAGCACTGGGGAGTCAAAGAAAGGTAAAAACAGTCTCTGCTGTCAAGGAAGTCACTATGTACAAACATGATATATACGAGACAAATTAGAGATAATCTCAGAAGGAAGGGATTGTCATTAAAGGAAATTTGGAAGGGCTTCTTGCAGAATGTGGGATTTTAGCTAAGCCTTGAAGGAAGCTGAGGAACCCAGGAGACAGGAATGAGGAAGGAGGGCAACAGCCAGAGAAAATGCTCTGAGTCTAGAGATGATGCAGGTTGTTCCAGGAACAGTAAGGAGACCAGTGTCACTGGATCTTAGGGTAGATGAAAGGGACTGAAGTGTGTGAAGATTAGGAAGGTAAGAAGGGACTGAGTTTTGAAGGATTTAAAAAGTCAAACAGAGGATTTTATATTTGATCCCAGAGGCAATAGGGAGTCACTAGAGTTAATGAATAGGGAGTGACATGGTCAGACCTGTACTTTAGGAAGATCACTTTGATACTCCCCAAAAGTGGGGAGTAGAAAGACTTAGCACTTACTATGCAGAAAATACCATACTAAGTAAATGCTATATATAGATTGGTTTCTCTGTATTTAAGTGAATATTATATATTTAGATGACTGCATCCATCCTGAGAGAGATATTCCCAACCTTAGAGGCAATTTTTGAGTTCAAAAAGTCTGGGGATCCTGATTTCCATAGTTGGAAATAACTATACATAACAAAGAAACAAAGGCCCTCGCTTGATTTATCTAGCCACAACCTATTTTAAATGCTGTGGGCCCATAGCTACCATGCTGCTAAGGTTGAAGTAAAGGTGCCACCCCCTGTCTGCCTCGCTCACAGCAAAGTAGAGCTACTTGCCATACAGAAGAGTTGAAGGAAGAAAGTAAGTCAGAAGCATTAATGATGGTTTGTGGATATCCCATATATTAAGCATATAGTATTCTTTTGTGTAGTGATAGAGGAAATAAATATCTGTCCTATACCTGATTTATATTGTGTATTAAGTACTTTTCCAAGTCCCCCTTTTCAGGAAATCCTAAACATAAGCCACGTAAAATGAGCTGCAGATGGAAATGGCAAACCATTCCAGTATCTTTGCAAAGAAAACCCCAATGAATTCAAAAACAGTTGGACAAGACTGAAAAATGACTGAACAACAATAACAAAATAAGCCAAGCCTAAGGTTTAGGTAATTTTCCCTGGGGCTTTGGGGTTGGTATAAAAAGCACCAGAGAGCTGGAGAAAGATTCAAACACTCTTATTAGAGGCCAGACACTCACAGGACTGAACTCAGTGCATGAATACTTGAGTACTCAGGCCAAGAAGACCTCTGGTGAAAAGGGATCGGTTAGAAGCCCTGTCTCCCAAAGCCCATCAGCAGAAGTTATTATTGTTAAAATAGCATCATATGTTCATAGTCTTTGATTTAGGAAAGGTATTAGAAATTTGTTCAGTGCTCTCATTTTACAAATTGAGAAAGTAAGAATCAAAGAGGTAAAATGATTTGCCCAGTTTTGCCTCTTGTAATGTAATAATTGCAATATGAATAAGAATATTTAATACTAATATAGTAAATTAATCCTTGCAAAGCACTTTATATATGTTGTTTCATTTGATCCACACAAAGACCCATGAAGTAATTGCCATTATTCTCCCCATTTGTCAGTTGAGGAAACTGAGACTTAGGTTAAAAGACTTGCCTAAAGTCATAAAAACATAAAACTATAAAACCATAAAACCATCTTGCAACAGAATTCTAAGAAAGGCCTTCCTGATTCCAAGTCTAGAACTCTATCTGCTATGCCACTTTGATGAATGTTGAAAGCAATAAGAAGTGCTGAAACTCCTGATTATGGAAAAATAACTTCATTCCTTTATCTGTATATATATAATATGTAATACTTACATCATAGGTAAAAAAAAAATGTTCATTTGAGTTACAGAAACATTATTATGTTTCACAGGCACTGTTTAACTCTGGCTTCCCCCATTCAAAAGGTTAATGAATTCACATTTTAAACTTTTGAAACTTGATTTAGTCATATTTATTATTCCAGCTGCATCTTATGACAAATGTCCAAATGCCAAATTTCCTTCTCCACAGAAAGCAACTCCATTTTTCTCGCGTATTTCTTAGTCATGTGCCTTTTGTTCCTATGTCATCAACTGGTGATATTAGCATTACATTTCTCAGAATGTGCCACTATTTATTACAAGGGGCTACTGTGCTAGAAGATTGGTGGATTGCCAAAGTGGTTTTCATCCTAAAATTGACACCAAGGATTCTGGGAACTCTAGAAGAGTAGGTCTAACTTTCATATCAGGCACATTTGTGGAACCTGTAATAAAGTAAAACCAATGAACACCTGAATCACTATCCTAATGGGGAGTTAAATCTACATAATCTATAAGCATACTAAGGACTTATAAGTGATTACTGTCTTTTGTTTCTGAAAGAGAAGTAATGTCTGAATCTGTTAGTATTTTATGGAGTAACTTTGTTTTTGACTAGATTCCACAAAAAAAAGGTTATTTTAAAAATTAGAATCAATTTTGAGCTAGAGGAAAAGTTTTGCCATGAATAGAAAACTGGAAACAAAAGGTAGATGAGAATAAATTCTTCTTTGAGTATAGAAGTCTAAGTCACCAAATGCCCTGAGTATTAGTGCTAGGGTCAGTTTTGTTAGATAAATGTATAAATATTCTTCATGTTTGGGATATTTGATAAATAGAAATTCAATAGAATCATGAATATATATTGAAACAAAATCTTCAAATGATTAGGTTATTTCTCTCCTCTGTTCCCACCTCTCAAAAGATCATATATCTAAAGGAGCTTCAGGGACCATCTAGTGCAATGGCTTTTATCCTGGGGCCCATGAACTCATTTTTAAAAATATTTTACTAACTATTTCCAAATAATTGGTTTAATTTGTAATCCTTTGTATTTTAATATGTGCATTTAAAAATCATTATTTGGGACTTCCAGGGGCAGAACCAAAATGATGGAGTGGAGGAAGCACTTGACTGAGCTCTCCCAATATTCCCCTCCAAACAACTTCAAAATAATGCCTCAAATTGAATTCTGGAGTGACAGAGCCAACAAAAGATTAGGGTGAGACATCTTCCAGCCCAAGACAATTAAGGAGGTCAGAAAGAGAGATGACATCCTGTGGAGGCTGACCCAGAGCCCATGTGGATGAAACAACAGTGTTGGGACTACATGGTGGTGACAGAAATAGCAGCAGCTTTGGGAGTTATTAAGCCAGAGAAAGTAAGGGATCCTGGCAACCAGTCAGAAAGAGAATACAGGGAACTCATGTGGCAGCACTGAACATAGGATTAGACCTATTTGGCAACTCCATTACCTATACCAAATTCTGGGTCAGAATTCAAGGGTAGAGAGAAGCAATTTTGGTCAAGAGGGAGCAAGAACCCTAAGGAGCAATATTGGTTTTGGTCACAAGGGAGCTGGAGTCTTGAGGAGCAGTATCAAATTTAATCCCAAGGGATCAGGAACCCTTCCCAGGTGAGGACCAGAGTGTAGATCAGAATAACAATGACCACACACACCTCTCCCCAAGTTGAGCCTTTTTGAAAGCATTGAAAACTTTCAACCCCCAGCACTAGCTCTAAAAGCAGCAATGAAAAAAAAAGCCTGAAGCTTGAGACAGTATCCCCCACTCCCATGCTTTAAGATAAGACCCAAATGCAACTTTAACGTAAGACTCAAAATCAAGAAATAGAATGGGAAAAGGAGGAAACAATACAAAAAGAATGTGACTATAACAAGCTTCTATGAAGACAGAAAAGATCAAGACATAAGTTCAAGGTAGACTTCAGAAAAACCTGGAAAGACTTATATGAACTGATGCTGAGTGAAATGAGCAGAACCAGGAGAACACTGTACACAGTAACAGCCACATTGTGCAATGACTGACCTCGAGAGACCTAGCTCTTCTCAGCAACTCAAAAAGACTCATGATGGAAAATGCTATCCACATCCAGAGAAAGAACTTTGGAGTCTGAATGCAGGTGGAAGCATACTGTTTGTTCTCCTTTTCTTGATATTGTTTTGTTTTGTTTCTTCTTTCTCTTGGTTACTCCCACTAGTTCTAATTCTTTACATCATGACTAATGTGAAAATATGTTTAACGTGAATGCATAAGTAGAGCTTATATCAGATTGCACCGGTTTTGGGGAGGGGGGAGGAGAAGGTGAGGGAGAAAATTCAGAACTCAAAATATTATGTAAGTGAATGTTGAAAACTAAAAATAAATAAATTAATCATATATATAATATATACACACACACACACACACACACACACCACACACACACACACACACATATATTTTAAAAAGACACAAGCTCAGAAGAAGACAATAAAGACAAAACAGCTATAAGCAAAGCCTCAAAGGAAAAAAATTTAATT